TCTCATGTAATAGTCGGTGAGTCTGTAGATGCCGATGCAATTCGCAAAGCTCAGCTTGGATATGAGGAACTCGCAGCACAGGCTGACGATGTCCATGACGTTGAACTGGTCAGCTGCGGCCAGCAAACTCTCAACGTTGTCCTCTGTGATTGGTACTCTCCCAGTGTAGGCATAATCGATGATGAGACTCATCATTTCTGCTGAAACACCAGGGATCTGATAGACTGCCTTCTCTGTGCTGTCCCAGCGGGTAAATAGAGTCCTGAAAATACAGCATTGCTGCGTTAAACCCTGTGCTGACCTCTTTGCTCCTCCTGCCTCCAGAAGCCATGCTGCTAAGGCCATGTGGTTTATTAATTTTTGAAAAAGCAGACACCAGCTGGGGACAGGGAGCACCAGGGGGAGCAGCACCCGTGCTGCCACAAGAATCATAGGATCATGGAGTATTTTTCATCTCCATTCTTTGAAGTTTCAAGTACTGACCTGAAGTAGACACTGCAGCAAGGTAGGATGAGCCTGTGAGCCTTGAATTCCACCCCTTGCACAGTAATGACCACATCACAGAATCTCCCTTCCAGGCGGAGCTCGTTGCAGACGCTGAGATTCCTATTGCTCATCTCCCTCTCCATGTGGGAAGATGAGTATCAGGTGGGTGGGAAGCTACTGCCCACACTGGAGCCAGAGGCAGTGCAAGGTCCTTCTCGCTGAGGTGCTTGTAGCACTCTGTCGTTGCCACCAAACATTCAGCACTGAACCCTCTTGCCCTGTGATGACATCACAGCTGCAGGGGTGACCCAGGCACAACATTCCATGATTGTCCTCAGCTCTGCTTATGCAGGATCCCGGACCTGCACCGTGCTGATGCTGCACAGAGCAAAACCCCCATGTGATCCTAGCAGCTCTTTGTATTATTTTGAGGGGGTGTAACACTCCCAGGACGTGGGCACCGAACGCTGCCGAAGTGCCTTGTGCCACCTCGCCCCCGAGGAAGCAGAGGCAGAGCCCAGCTCCTGTCAGTGCTGAAGCCACGCACACAGTCCCTGCTCATTTGTCGCTCAAATTGTGCCAACAGGTTGGCTATTGGGAAA